AGGCTTGTTTTGATTAATATATTAGGTTTACAGTAATATAACTTAGAAAACATGTAGCTTAAAAAGGCTAACTTTTTTTTTCTTGCTTATTTGTATTGCAGCAAGTTTAGTCAGTATTTAGGTAGCTTTAAATGGAAACTGTTGCATTCATTATCTGTCAGTACACAAATAAATGAAATTAATTAATAAAGTTGTTTTAATCTTTTTATAGAGTCACAATGCTTGCTTTATACAGCAAGAATTTTTAATATATTTTAAGAAATCCAGAAAACTTTTCATGCTAACATGAGGATGTACAAAAGCACTTCTCAAGGATGCAAAAAACGTGGTGGTTTGATCTTGTTGAAAAATCAGTATCTGAAAATGGTCTTTAGGAAGACTTTAATCTTAGCTCTTTTTTCCTCCTTGCTTCAGGGTTGGTACATTGTGACATATGCCTTGGGAATCTACCACCTAAATCTCTTCATAGCTTTCTTGTCGCCAAAGGTAGACCCCTCTTTAATGGAAGATTCAGGTATGATGAACAGTTCATTTTGTGATAATTCTGAGCTCAGTCAAATTTCCATCTCTCCTTTTCTGATACATATTGTAAAGATGTGCAGTTTTAGCATGGCATTGTATTTTTAGACTTGCAAAAAAAAATCTATTACAACTTGACATCAGGAATTGATATAAAATTTGTCTGTCTCTTTTTTCAGGACTTGAACGTACTCTGTATTGTATTAGTTTTGTGTTTTGAAGGAAGGTTTATGTGACTTAAGTTCTCCACGTACTAGCTCAAGTTTCTGGCACTCGTTTCTGTTACTTTTTTTGGGGGGGGGGGGTGGAATCAGTGTTAAGTTACATTACAACAGCCACTGCAATTGGGATCTATGTGTAAGAGTGAAAGTTTTTACCTTTTTTTTTAAAGAGGAAAAAATAGAAAAAACCTGGAGTCTGAATAGTGTGGACAATTAGTGTAAAGGGGTTTATGGTTTTGGATTTTTTTCTCCTGTTCTTTTTCAGACGATGGTCCTTCCTTACCTACAAGACAAAATGAAGAATTTCGGCCTTTCATTAGAAGGCTCCCAGAGTTTAAATTCTGGTGAGTGGATCCATCTGCCCATGCTCTGTTTTTGAAAAATAGAAATACCTGCATAAAATTATTGGTAGCTGGGGTTGAAGGATTAATTGTTACTATTATTTTTAAGGCACTCTGCCACTAAAGGAATCTTGGTTGCTATGGCATGTACATTCTTCGAGGCTTTCAACGTTCCTGTTTTTTGGCCAATCCTTGTGATGTACTTCATTATGCTATTTTGTATCACTATGAAGAGGCAAATCAAGGTAATCAAGATCAGTAATGTTCACTGTACTATGAGGTTTGGGGTATAATCAAATTCGAGATTTATAAGATTGGGCTTATACCCCTATTTTGATATAAACTGGTGTATGATTAGCTATTTCATTACATTTACAATACTGAAGAACTGTCTTTCTAGAGGACTTTGTAATTTACCATGTGTATTATAAAGCATTTTTGTAAATATTAGTTAAGGTTCTTGCCTCAAAAATCGATCTTTTCTCTTTACAGCACATGATAAAGTACAGATATATACCCTTCACACATGGCAAGAGGAAATACAAAGGGAAAGAAGATGTGGGAAAGACCTTTGCTAGCTAGAAGATGCAATCAACCCGTTGACCAATTCAACTTCTAACTAAAGGAACGATTTTGAGCCATTGTAACAATGCCTTTTTTCTTCATAAAAAAAACGATTAACAGAGTGATGACAAAGCAGTTGAATTTTCATTCTAAGAGGATCTTGCTATTTTTATCTGAAATATCAGTTTCTTGAAGAAACTGGCATTCTAACCAAATTGCATTGAGTTTATTATCTTTTGTAAGAAGTTGGAGAAACTTTGGATAATCCCATGGATTTGGGATAATGTATTTCTTTCAAGATCCATTGCACTGGAGGGATTAATGGCTTGGTGTTGGATATTTTTACGTAGTTCTCCTGCTCAATATCACCCTGAAGTGCTGTGCACGTATGTGGAGGAAAAATATAAGATGGCACACATGATGCTGTTTTCTGCTTCATGGCTGTGTGCTATTTTCGTAGAAAAATTCAGTAGACTTAAATAGATGCAGAACTTAAGCCAGTTTCCTAAATGCATGGTATTACTGAGTTATAGCCAAACAAATATAGCTAGGAATAAGAAATCTACTAAATTATGGGTATTGCAGTAGGGAAAAAATACTCACGCAGCTTCTAAAGTAACTCATTTGTGTTGGGTTTTAATGCCAGTTTCACCATTGCATCTCCTAACATGCTAAAATTGGGCTTTTTCATGATGACTCAAAACTTTGTTTGAACTCTCATTACAGTTTCCTTTGAGGACCTGGAATTATAAATATATATATTTTAATTGTTATTAGTTGGATTTTCTTTCACACTTAAGGGTTTCTTGATTAATTTAAGCTGTCTTCATGCAGCCCCTTCAGAATATGCCCAAACTGGCCATAACAGACAAACGGTGTGGGTTTTAACACAGCTTTTCTTTTTCTATGGGGAAAGAAGGAAAAAAAAAAAAGATAAATGACCTGCATGTAAACTTTTTCATTGTGATACAACTGCAGTTTTATTAAGTGACTTTTTAATTCCAAAATTTATTAAAAGACAGTGTCCCCCTTTACTTGTTCTCTATCTTTATATACATACATTGATCTAACAGTATTTATGGCTCCTTTTCAATAATGGTTACACTCAATTTATCTTCCTGCAATGCCTTTTTCAACTCTTCAGGGAGCACTGACTTGCAGAAAGTAAGGAAAGATTAGCTCTTTGAAGAGTCTGAATGGAGAACAGTGGCAACTTCAACAGACACCTAATTGGAAATTGTGTGTAGGAACCCTTTCATCTGATTTTGTCAAATGAAGTCATGGAGCTCTGCAATTCAGCCTTCAGTAATCCTGGGGAAATGACAGGTAGCTTTAGTTCACATTGACATGTTTTTTGTTTGTTTGCACGTATTTGTTTTATTAGCAGTGTGAAAACTAGTAATGTCAACATTTAGAGTTACGGAAATAATAATTCACAGTATCCAGAAAGGGCCTTACAAGTACCAGTCATGGATGCTTGCAGTTCATTGCCTAAAAGTCTGGAAGCCCTGACTTGAAGAAGCTGTCTTCAGGTTTGATGGAGTTTCTGAATAAGATGGGCAAATCAGGGTCAAAAATACGATGTGTATTAATGTTAAAATTAGCAACTGGGGTGACTCCTACTAAAAAACAGTGTTAATGACATTCCTTGCAAAGCAGGTATTTTTACCTACACTTAATTTCAGACTTCAGTGGCAGCTGAGATTAATGCCTTCTCTTTCTTAGGTAGGCATAGATGCTCTACATTTTCAAATATGGATTGTAGATGGTGTTAGGACAATGGTACAGTTCTCTAGCTGACTCTCAGCATGCAACAGCCAGACAAGTTTAATGGCTTTTTTGTTGAACTTTGCTCTATTTTTATCACTTAAAATGAGAAATTACCCTTACAGAATGCACTAAAAACTTGGCTTGACAATTTCACAGATACCTTCCAGTCATCGACTGCCTCCTGTTTGGTTTATGTGCACTGAAGTGTTTTTCCATACTATTCTTAGTAAGGTGATCAGGCAGTGATTTCCTTAGGTGTTCAAGTTCTGATTCGTGATATGGACCATTTTTCTTCCACTGTTGCCTTGACAGTTTTCAACAGATGAGGAATGCCTGAAAAATTTCTGGTGTAAGAAAGGGATGATACTGCAGCTCTGAAAATCACTTTTGTACAGCGATGGTGAAGTGTTAGCATAGTTACCAGCAACTATTTTCTTCCATTTACAGATATGATGAAAGGTTGAAGTAGTTTTATTGGAGTTTTTATGATGACGTGGAGATTTTAATTATTAACTAACCAGGATCTCCGCAGTGCAAATAACCATCTAAAGGAAGCGCACCTCCCCCTGCCACCCCAAGTTCCTATTCAGTGGCATTTGTGAAAAAATTACTGAAACTAACTCATGATTCACAGAGTGGATTATCTGGCTCTTTCTCCTCATCTGTATTTAAAGAAATCAAATAAATTCACGTTGTACATTTTTTATCATGCAAGACTGACAAGCTACATTAACAACTGACAATCTTTTTCCCTGCTGCTCCCAATATTTGTGTAACTGAACTAATTATTTATGGGAACAAACCTTGATGAGGTGGTGCTGCTGAATCCCTCCTGCTTTTATACTCTAAAATAGTCTTAGCTGAAAGAACCCCTAGTGCCATAAAGAAGGGAGAGGGTCTTGTGGCTGGTCAGCTTCTTCCCTCTGTTAGACTGCAGAAAACAGCACAGAGTGTTATAAAACTCAGGTTTTATAGTTGAGCTTAGTTTCTATTATTATATATACACTGGGGCTTCTTTGACACAATACTTATGTTGCTTAGTCTAGATGTCTAAGATAACTGATGAAAAGTCTTGATATCTAATAGTAATAGAAAAGCTTTGAGTCTGGAAACTGAATATTAATTGATCAGTGTGCAGAGCAGTCTGCATCACAATGGGCTTCCATTTGTTGCTTCTGTTGATCTAAGGGAAATTCACTGTTTATCAAATCAAGGAAACCTGCTTTATTGTTAACCTTGTTATGAAAAGAGTGGTACATGACATAGGTTCATCATCAGAACTTGAACTGCAGTTAAACTAAGGATTTGTGTGCAGCTTTTGTCCTTTTCCCCTGAGGTCTACAGTAGGGACTCACTATGTTACAGGTGAGAGCGAGTCTTACAAATCATAGAATTTTACTTATACCTTAAACATGCTATGAAAGGTTGTAAGACTCATTATCCACAATTACATTTAGAGAATGAGAATCTGATTAAAATCTTTCATTGTCCAAACTGAAGAAAACTATTACATTTGTGTTAAGCACTTTTTTAGAAAGACATTTTTAATATGACCAAGAACCATGTTAGAAGAAACAGAAGGGTGGAGGCAGAAAGAGATTTATTTGGTAAAACAGGAATGAAGTGCCACCTTACACAGGCAGTTACCTGTTTCATAATTAAGTCTTTTTCTTGGACCAACTCAAGCTGTATGATGACTTTATAAAGGGTACAAGAGCTGAGGCCCTTGTTGTGAAACAGAATAGATTTTTTCTTCACAGTTGATAGTGACGTAGGTAGATCAGTTTCTGAGGATGAAACTTCTCTCTGCACAGTGGACATTCTGTCTACAAAAAGAAAAGAAATTAGATAGACACTGAATCGCTGTACTGAAGAATTCAGGCAAGACTTGATGAACCTTGGCTAGGTCTTTACAAGCAAATCTAAGTGACTCTTGATGTTTCCTGGTTTGTGTCAGAGTGGTGCTAGGAAGGCAGTAGCTCAGTGCAAGCTGCATTCTAGTTTGTCTTCAAATGGTGCATCTATAGTAGAACTTAACAGCTTGCATAGGTATAACCTCAGTGCATTTAAATGCAGGCCTTTGGCAATACTGACTTTAGTGTCAAGAGCAAGTTGGATCTTGGGAAAATTCTCTGAGAAGTTGTATTTGCTTGACTCTGTTCCACCACAGCCATACTACTATTTGCGTAGGAAAATGTAAGTAGATGACACTACTAATTTCTAACAGCCACAGTAATGCACCTGAGTTCTAGCACTGACATAGCCTCTCTGGTGAAGGCTTTATTTGTAACACTCGATGCCTTTTTTCTGGCAAGCATTTTTCACTCTTTAGAGAAGACAGACAACATCTTATTCCACAATGTCTATAAAAATCCTTAATGGATGAAAATTCTGTTGTATTTCACTAATCCAGAGCAAAATCCAAGTTTAAAATACCATGCCTAAGAGCTAGTTCAGTTTGGTTGTAACTTAATTTATTCCTTTTCACTGGTAATCAGGTGAAGAAATCTTCAGAGCATTATCACTTTTGATGTTTCTTTGCAGTCAGAATTACAGCCTAGCTCTGTAGATCAAGGAATTATCTCCATGTCTGACTGCCACAGGATTCCAATTGCCTTTCAGTGGTTGGGACAGAAAATTGCTCACCTTATTTACCTCATCTGTGTAATGCAGTCATTTTGTTCTAATAAAATATATAGGTCCTGGTAAACTCTCGTGTGGGGATTTTGGGTGCCTTAGTGAGAGAAAGGGTTTTATTTCAACACCTAAGCTGATAGGTATTTTCAAGTAGAAATTTCCTCTTGTTTACCCTTTCCAGCCTCCATTTGTCCTTCTGTACTTACCCTGGTGTTACACCACGCCGTGATGCATTCCCAGCAGAAGAGGTGGCCACAAGGTGTGGCTGTTGTGTGTCTCCGTTCCTCCAGACACAAAGTGCAGCGGGAGTGGCGCCCAGCAGTCTTTTCATTGGTCATATTTCTAATTAACATAGCTATATATTACTTAATTGTACTTAGCCTGCTTGCCAGAAATATTTGACAACACAATCCTGAAGTTAACCCCATCTTCAAGTATTAACCCTTTTTGTGAAGATCTCAAAAACATGAAAGCCAAAGCATGAAATCTAAGAGATGCTTAAAACAGTGAAGAATGCATCAAAAGTTACATTACATAAGGTTCTGACTTAAGTCAAAGTGTGACTCTGGTGTATTTATCCCTTTTCCCAAAACCATTACATTTCCCGCCATTGCTTCCACCTCTTTCCTAGGAAGTAAAAATCATCATACTTCTGATGAGCTAGGTTGCGGTGCAGTTTCCATTCCTGCCTTGCTCTCTGCTTCTGTCTGAAGCTGTACATCTGAACACCAATTGTCAGAAGAAGATGGATGAGTGAAATTATTCCAAGAAATTTGTAACTTGATCGAATACTCTGATCTTCTCCTTGCGGTCCTCCGAAGTGCAGCTACATAATTCACAGAGAGATGTTTTGTTACTGTGGTTTTACAAAACTAGGTTCCCCCCTGCCCACATCAATAAACTCCTGATTTGGGATTCTCATTTCTGTCCAAAACATTGACATCTTTCTAGGATTTATCAACCTGCTGTCCCTCAGGATCTAATGTGTCCTGGATGCACCTCATTCAGTCAGACCACATTTAACTGCTGTTTGTGCAAGGATCAGTTGTCTCCAGTTGTCTGTGTGTCCATCAAACTTGCTGCTTCTCATCAGTTTGGTTTTGCTATGTAGCTCTGAGCAAATAGTCAGACACCTCTTTTCCACATTGATGTTGGGAACTGTTGAGGAGTTTTCTGTCTGCACACATTTCTGAGCCAGAGGCTATGTTTTTGGAAACATACTGAAAACACCATGTAAAATTAAGCTCTTCATATGGAAAGATGCTACATAAACGTGTACTGATTTTTGTTCAAAGCTATATTAAGTATTTCCCATGGATTTATTAAGCCACTTCTGTATTTGTAGAAGACAGACTGGGCTAGATAGTGTTCTGAAGCTACATAGGGTATTAACTTCTGATAGTGCACTCACATTTATTATCCATAACCTTTTGACTGCTGCAGTTCATAACCCCTCTACATAATACTATAAATTTCCCCCCTCATGCAGTCTGCTCTGCCCATGTTATAATCACCTACAGCCAAATTGTTTCCCTTTTACACACATGGCATCTCAAAAATCCCAAAAGAGGCCAAACTGCCACAGTGCACACCATCTTCAAACATTAGATAGATAGATATACTAGAAATCCATCTACTTACATATGTGATTCCTGTGAGTCTTTTAGACAGGTGATAAAAAGTGCCACTTATGTAGAATACTGCCAGATGTAGTCGACGAAGCAAAGGTATGCACTGTTTAAGAACATACACAATTTGTAAGACTGTTTTCTTCTGCTGCTCCGTAAGCTCCCCAACTTGTTTCTGTACCCAGTGTCGTATTAAGGTCCTACTGGACAAGCCAAGTGCTGGGTTGCTTTGTGAGGTCCTGGGCTCGCCAGCTTCTGTCTGCAACTCATGTTCCAGATGCAGTAATCCCTTTTCTAAGAAATAGGGTACTACGGTGTGAAGAGAAATTAAGATGGCCCGTCGAGGAAATGAAGGTACCCTCTTCTTGGTTGAGTCAACTTGAACAATGTTAACGTACTCTTCGCCCAGAGTCTGATAACCTAAAACAAGCAGGGTAAGATGGCAATTGCAGTGTCATTCTCTGTATGGCTGAGCACTGGGGACAGGCTGCTCAGGTCAGAACACATCAGGATTTGGAGTTGCAGAAATAGTTGCATTTTCTGGTGTTAAATGAGCTGAGTGTTACGTTTCCACCAGCATCTGTAGCATCAGTGTCTGCAATGGTTTTAGGGCTTACAGCAGGGATACTTTTTCATAAGTGGCATGCATCCCTTTTTGAATAAGGACTTTTGCTTTATCTGAGTTGATAAAATGCTGCATTTCAACTCAACCTTCTGACAGTTTAGTGATTTTGTATTTAACAAAGGCATAGAAAAACAAACAAACCCGCAAATTAAAGAAGTTCACAGTCAGGCAGTCTCATTCCAGTTGGTCACCAACAACCAGTCCAGGACAGCTCATTTTCCCGCTGTCAGAGGAAGCGCTATCGGGGCAGTTATTAGGCCCATTACCTGACAGAGTGGTGAGGACGAAGTAGGCTACATCAGAAAGCAGTTCAACCTCCTTCCTCCCCCCCCCTCCCCCCCCCCCAGCCACTTCTTGGTACCTAAGAGACGGGTATTACTGCAATTATTTTACACGGAATTTGTAAAATCCAAGCCCCTCTCCGGTTCGCGGTGGCTCGGCCCCCCTCCCTCCCCAGAGTCGTGAGGCAGCACAGGGACCCCGCAGCGCCGACGATGCCGCTGCGGTCCCGCCCAGCGGCCCAGCCCCGGGGGCAAAGCTCGGGGGCCCTT